ATTTCTTTTAGTGACTGGCTTTGACTTTTTATCAATAGAGTGGTAGAACTGATAATTCATATGATCCGCTAGTGTAATTTTTATTATAAAAGCTTCTATCAACATTTTTGACAAAATATTTATGAAATAATATGGCATTTAAGAATTCTAACAAAGCTGTAATTGAAACATTTTTGGATAAACTTTACTTAAGTACATAAAATTTCAAGTTACATATATATGGACATTTACAAAACAAATTACAAATTACAATTCTAATTAAAAATTGATGATGAAATAATTTCAAAATAAATTTAAAACCAAGTAGTCTTTCTGCTACAGTTTGTGCAAAGTGCATTGGTTTGAACAATTATGCCCAAGTAGTTTCAAGCTGTATTGGTTACCAGTAAGCTTCCAAATACAATTGAAGTTGCATAGGATCTAGTTACTTAAGAAACTATTTGTCTTTCAATGGTTTTTGTCCATTTGTTATATAATTATTTTGTAATGTTTAGGCTTCCATTGATTGAACTGTGTCTTCAAGCATGACTCAGGAACTATCCTTTTTCTGCCACAACACTTGGCTCTGGAATAAAGATTCAGACTCCCCAAGGCTTATTTAATTTAATATCCCAAGGGAGGTTATGCTGTACAGGAGGGCATGGCTTATCTCCTAAATTTGGAGATTACTAGGAGTTTCTCCAATTGTGAACATACTGAACAGGTCAGTTATAGTAGAGAAGATACTTTAGTGCTAAACTCTATCAGACTTATAGGTTAAAACCAATAATTGAATTGATTTGGAAGGTTAGTGGTAACCAGTGCAGAGCCATGCACATTAGTATAATATACTCCTGACATTTGGCAAATACTGTACAATTGTAACTTCCAAATGATCTTCAAAGATAGCCCTATATAAAGCATATTGGAATAGTTTATGTGTGTGACAATAAGATGATGAATAGACTTTGCATAGACTTTTCACTCTAAGAAGGATTACAAGAGGCACACAAGCTGAATCTGAACAAATGCTTCATGGGTATGGCCGCTACCTTTGTACCAAGAAATATCCATAAATTAAAGATAACCCAAAAAACACAGATTTATTTTCTTAGGAAGAATAAAATAAAATACAACACTGCAGAATCTCAATTAGCTAAGAGAAGTTCTATCTTACTTGGATAGAACCTATTTCATGCCATTTCTACTCCATCACTAGTTTGATCTAGTCATGTGAAAAATTGGGTCTATATCGTATATAGCGTAATGCTGATATTGGATTCTGGACTGATGGATGTCTGTCCCAAATATCTATTAATTAATTAAGCAAAAAAGAGACATCTGACTCTTATAACATCCCATATGTGAGTAGCACCAATTCTATATTTTCACTGTAACCACCAAATTTCAGAGTAAATCATCATAAAAGACCACTTCCACTCTAAAACTTTTGCAGGCCTTCAGAAATGATATCATGAATGATATTATTAAATGTTGCTGAGAACCCCAAGGGAAACAGAAGAGATTCAGCTGTGACTGAATTCCTGGCAAAAGTATCAATGCATTTCTATCTTCTGGCTATACCTGGATCCAGATTCAAAAGGATTCAGATAATCCATTTTTTCTAGGGAGTCTTGTAGTTGTATATTAACTCCATTTAATACCATTCCTTTGAAAGTTGTTAAAATTGACTTGATTCAGGGAGAATCTTATAAATACAGGGTATATCACAACTTCCTTAATGGCTCTCAGAAAATTCCCTTTTGCAATGAATCATTGACCAGCTCCAGGTCCATCATGCACAAGTCCACAAATGACATATACTAAAGAGCATCTCATTTACTTTATCAGAGTCCACATGTCAGATTCTCACTTTAAAATGTAAGCCATTGCTCTAATTGCCAGATTTGAACCTTTCCATGAAGAGTTAAAACTTGGTTTCTGTAATGCATTAATTATACAACACAAGAAAAGATTAGTAAAGGAAGAACTGTAGCCTCCTTTTAAGAAAACCATCTCAGGAGAGAAGATATGAGATGTGAGAATAAGATCTACTGTGACAAAAGCAAAAGGATGAGGATGTGGTGTTAGAGTAAATTAAAGACTAATAAACTATTAAACTACAGTTATCAAGCCTATGAAAATCAATTCTGCCATTCTTCTATTTTGCCTGAATTTGAAACAGTGTACTTCCCAGATCAAAAAAAAAAAGGTGCTACTTAAATATCCACAGCTGGGAAAGTTAGTAAGAGAGTAGGAGAATGACTATGGTTGTCAGAACATTGTGCTTTATTCTGAATGTTATTTTTTAAAAAATATTTTCAAACTCTGTCCTTGAAAACAAAAGGAATTGAAGATAATAATCTTCAGCAGATTGTCTATGCATTCAGAAAGTCCAGTGTTTCTTTTCTATGCTTGCTAGTCAGCTGCCCAGTTCTGCAGGAAGCCATGCTATAAAAGTATAGAGAGACCATCTGAATTGTTCACCTTGCAAGATTCTTGAACTGCAATTTCAATTGGATGAGGAAATGATCAAATCATGACAAAGACTTCATTCAACAATAGTTCTGAAACAATCATAAACTCAATTTATATTTTTGCCTTTATGAACAATGGTATTAGATCTTAGTAACATGAAAATGAGAAAATATTAAATAAATCAGGGTAGTGATACATCAATTCTAGCATCCTATTTTTGTAACAAGAACTTTACAGAAATCCTGTATGCAGAATAGTAAGTCAATTTCTCTTCTATTGTTTCCAATCAATAATCTAAAATAGAATAGGTTAATAACAAAATGGTATATTGAGTAAGGATTTTGGCAATTACCACAATCTATGATATTACTTCAAATGTAATTTTGATACTATAACAAATTTCAACAGGGTTGAGCATTCCCACTTCAGTCATTACTCAAAATCTCCTAAGACTTTTTTTTAATAACACCCAAAGGGAGATTTCTTTAATAAAATCTCTGATCTCATACAAGCGAAGGAGAACAAAATAGAACATGTTGGATGAATAAGATGTAGTAAGCCATTATAACCTTATATGAATGTCTATGTCACATAATACTTTTCATTAAGCTTTCTAAATTATGGTTATGATTTAGCTGGAAAACAGCAAAAAAAAGACCTGTTTGTTCTGATTGATTCACACTCCCTAAGTAAATTAGTGAGATTTATTATTTATTTGTTTATTTGTCCCTAGATTTCTTTCTCATGAAGGAGTGAATTGTAGTCAGCAGCACAAGGATCTTGAAGTTAATTCTGCTTCCTTTATCTCTAATTTTTACATTATTGTAAAAAGAGAAATGCATCATTTATGTATTTTTAATATATTTATTGACATGTGTAGCACAAGATAAATTTTAATTATTTAAATACATTTACTTCACCACCAAACATAATTCACAATTATCCATTCTTGAATGTGGGAAAATTTGTCAAATGTATCTTTGTTGTATATTTGTTGTTTTATGTAGATGTAGATGTTTTTATGTAGATGTTTTATACTCCTTATATTTTACCCATTAATATAATATAATTACAGCTAATTTTTATAACATTTTTCTAGGAATGAGTAGGGGCTGAATATTTTTGTTGTTTACGTTTGGCACAAAATTATGTATACACATTTCTTTCCCTACTATCCCTATGTTTATCTCTTTCATTTCTATTAGATTTTTTTCAATATAGTAAAAAAGTATCCAAAAATCAAAAAAAGAGATAAAAAGAAAGAAGTACATTTTTGAAAGGAAAACATATAATGCCCTTCTTTTAACTGAAATCATCATCTTATTTTTTTTATGAATATCTTTTCAGTCTAAGTTGTAACTACTCTTTCCATTCTCTTAGGGGTCATCTTTCATTATTAAAGATATCTATTTAAAAAACATGCATTTTTAAATGCATTGCTGTGAGATAATAATACAAGCAAGCAGTATAAAGGAGGTAAATGATTAATTTATGTGTATGTGAATATAGTTCTGCCTTTATAAGGATAACTCTATTCTGAATGTATTACTTTTTAGAATACATAAGTGAAATAAATATGCAGGCCTAATATAGAATAGAATAGAATAGAATAGAATAGAATAGAATAGAATAGAATAGAATAGAATAGAACAGAATAGAATAATAACTTTATTGTCACTTTGAATGTACACTAATTAGCATACATTAAAATGAAATTTCATTGCATACAGCTCTCAAAGGGTCACCACCTCCAATAAGTCTATATAGTGACTTTGCTATTACATTTTTAAATATTAGCTGTGAAAGAAGCTAATTATTAGTAGAGCTGAAATTGGAAAATATCATATTTTAATGATGTGTATATTATATTAATAACAATTTCAGTGTTCCCACTTAATGAAGGAATGGGGTTTTAAAAAGTCAAAGGGAAACATAGAACAAACTAAAATTCTAATAAATGAAAGGGAGAGGAAATTCTGCATACAATGACAATATTTTAGATTTTTATACAACATGGAAGGGTAGGAACAGATAGGGGCTGAAAAAGAGAGTAGAGAGTAGAAAAGTCGACTTCTATTAATTCAGTTCCAGTTTCTAGATTGGCACATCTGGATTCAACTCATGATGTGAAAATTTTAAGCTAAATACTTAAATTGCTTGTGCTTTGTGGTGTGAAGCTAGATCAATACCCTGTACTAGATCAATACTCTGTACTAGATCAATACCCTGTACTATTGTTTTTATATGCATATTTTATTCAGATAATTGTGAGCATATGTGTGACTGAAAAAAATGTGTTTGAAAAATAGCTTGATTCCCTCTTCTTTGTAGCAGCCCCTGAGATATTGTAACACTGCTATCATGTCCCCCCTCATCCTTCTCTTCATTAAATACACATATCCAATTCCACCAACCGTTCCTTATATGTTTTAGCCTCCAATCCTCTAATCATCTTTGTTGCTCTTCTCTGTACTCTTTCTAGTGTCTCAACATCTTTTTTTACATCATGGTGACCAAAACTGGATGCAGTATTCCAAGTGTGACCTTACCAAGGCATTGTAAAGTGGTATTAATACTTCATGTGATCTTGATTCTATCCCTCTGTTAATGCAGCCTAACACTGTCTTGGCTTTTTTGGCAGTTGCAGCACAGCAGCCACAGCATTTGATATGTATCTCATTTAGCACTTCCAGATTTGAGAAAATTGCACTGAAAAAAAAATTAATCTAAAATTAGAGATTTGCATGCCAGAATTTATATATTTCATGTTCAAATTGTTTAAATATTAACTTCAGATATTTATTATGAGAAACATAGTGAACAGGAGACAAATTATAACTATAGAATTTTTCAGCTTGAGATTTTGGAAGTTTCATCTTCTGCATATATTTCTGTTTCAAATACTTCTAGAGATTGATACTATACTTCTAAATTCCAGCAACCCTCTCTCTTTTATGATACTGACTGATCAGCATGTATATATATTGTCATTGTATTTTCTGGGTAATGTGTGCAATGTTATACCAGTTGTTTCAAATATTCTCCTTGTAGTTTTTATATACAGTAGGGTGTAATGAAAGCACTGCAGAGGAATCAAACTGAAATTACTGAATTTATACTTTTGGGATTTGGGGACCTCCATCATCTGCAGATCTTCCTGTTCCTCATTTTTTTAGTGATCTTCATTTCAACTATGGTAGCTAATTTCCTTACGCTTCTTGTAATTGTGATTGATCAATGCCTGCACACGCCAATGTACTTCTTTTTGGGAAATTTAGCCTGCTTGGAGATGATATATAGTTCAACCATTCTTCCCAGGATGATAGCTGCTCTCATGACTGGAGACAACACCATCTCTGTAAAAGGATGCATCACACAGTTTTATTTTGGTTCATTCCTGGTTTGTACAGAATGTTATCTCCTTTCTATAATGTCTTATGACCGTTTCTTAGCTGTTTGCAAGCCTTTACATTACGCAACTGTTATGAATAGTAAGGTATGCATTCAGCTGGCCACAGGCTCATGGCTCAATAGTATTTTAGCCATATCCTTGTACTTGGGCTTGATTTTACAACTGCAGTTTTGTGGACAAAATGAAATCGACCATTTTTTTTGTGAGGCTCTTCCATTGCTGAAACTCTCCTGCAGTGACACATTTCTGGTAAAGCTTGTTACTTTCATTGTGGTTTTTATCATCACTTTCCCTCCTTTTGTTTCAACTTTGATCTCCTATATCTATATTATTGTTGCCATTCTGAAAATCCCATCTATCACAGGCAGACAGAAAGCTTTTTCTACTTGCTCTTCTCACTTGATTGTTGTCTCTACTTTCTATGGAGCCATTGTTATTGTATATCTCATACCAAAAACAGATGAAGTGAGAGATTTCAATAAGATTTTTTCTCTCTTGTATACGGTCCTGCCCCCTTTACTCAATCCCCTCATATACAGCCTGAGAAATAAGGATGTCAAATGTGCTCTGAGAAAGGCTGCAGGAAAATTGTTAGATGGACAATATATAAATTAGTGATCCAAAACCTGATAGACATTTACAGCTTCCAAATTAACATGAACATTAGTTTGTGATTGTTGATTTTGCTTAAATGGTACATGATTATCTACAAAATAATTATTGAATTGAATTTATTTGTTTGTTTGTTTGTTTAAATATTTATGAAATTTATTTGCTGTCCATCTTGTATCCAATATCTGGGAAGCTTACAACATTTAAATTACTTTATGTTCATTTTCTTCTCTCTTCTAGAATATATTCCATGATATGCCACCCAAATCCAAATGTAACTTTGGCCTGAAAATGGTCGCAGGACTTTGATATACTGTAGATTAGTAGATTGTAGAGTTCAAACTTTGATTAATGCAGAGCATCTGTAACTAGGGCATCACATCAAAGATCTTGAATGGCCCTTAATGAGGACCCAGATTGTTGGGAATGAGGACCCAGATTGTTGGGGGCAACATGCTGACTCTGTAAACCACTTAGAGAGTGCTATAAAGCACTAATAAGTGGTATAAGTTCTTCCATCCTTCCAAGGTCAGTAAAATGAGCACCTAGATTGTTGGGAGCAATATTCTGACTCTGTAAACTGCTTAGAGAGGGCCAGTGATGGGATTCAGCTGGTTCGCACCACTTCAGCAGAACTGGTAGTTAATTTTGTGTTGCCCAGGCCCAGAATGGATTTCCAAAAGCGACATCCACACAGAGAACCGGTTGTTCACATATTTGAATCCCATCACTGGAGAGGACTCTAAAGCACTGTGAAGTAATATATAAGTTTAAGTGATATTGCTATATAAGTCTAAGTGTTATTGCTATTAAAGATCAGAGCATAAAAGAATATGCAGCTTATTTATGTAATTTGGTTTTATTTATTTTCTTTATATTGCCACCCATCTTATACAATATAACTCTGGAGGGGGATTCACAAAAAAAAACCAGTAAAACCTATAACATAATTTAAAAAACCCACAAACAAACATAAAAACCAACACAGTAACTCCTACCACTCCTAACCACAATGCATCTTCAAACATTCATAAAGAACATTTCTGGCCTCACATAGCCCCCAGTGCTTGTGGGGAAAGCCACTTTTTCAAAGCTTTTTGGAAGGCTTAGATCAGGGGTGTCAAACTGCCGGCCCGTGGGCCAGACTTGTCATGTGGAAGCTGCATCCACCCTATTGTCGGCAATGACAAAATTCTCCTGATACATTGTGTGATGCCATGTGACGTCACGAGTTCTGGATGTCAAAGGAAAGGGTGTTCTAAAGAGAAGAGGTAGCAATCAAGGAAGCATGCTACCCATTAGATGGCAACATTGAGGGAAGAGCCTGAACATGCCACTCTGTAAGACCTAGTGTAATAGAGAGCCAAAAACAGAGAGAGGCCATCCTGCAAATATTTGGTATTCTGGGGTTTAAAAATGATAACTAGGATCATGAATCACAATAAAAAAGAAACTGGAAGCCAGAATTGTTCACACAATAGTGGCATGTACATGTGTAAAATCTGAGGTACACAGAACTGTGTGTGCCAGCAAACCAGCTAGGAATGATCATGAGTGATTAAGCAAGACTCTTGGTTGAAGAATGGATACAATTAGAGTACAAGATGAATCTGTGCAAAGATCCCATCTTTCACAGCTGTTCATTGAGCAGAAGACATGAATCCAGGATGATGCATACATGTTTTGTCAGAGGAATGCAACCCCACGAGGAGTCAAATATCCAGAATCAGAACCATCAACATGGTTGATCCTGCCAGTAGTGCTTATCTTATATATTAAGCCATGGATGTTTTAACATGTGTATGATAGTAAAAACATGAAAGTCTCATTAAAACGTTATGGTTTGATTTTGGAAGGTATTCAAAGTTTGCTGTAAGATTTGTGCTTATATAAATGTTTCAGATGACAAATATATAGAAACAGACAAACAGATCCTCAAAGGCATTCTGTCTTGCTAGGATTGAGTTGAAACTGATTCCACCCATCCAAAGGTTTAAACAGTCAAGTTACTGGGCCAGCAATCAAACAACATTGCTTAGTCAACCAGGGTTGGAGATGTATAACTATGAATCATCAACATGGTGAGCATAATCCAAACCATGTCTTCAGATGTCTTCTCCCAACAATTTCATGTAAATGCTTAAAAAAAAGAATTGAAAGACATGAACTATTAAGAAACTTAGTCTAGGACTAAGCCTCTCATATTCCACCAGTACCAACTAGAATCTTTGACAGACAGAGGAGGAGAACTGGTATAAACAGTGTCCTCACTCGCAACCTCCAGAGCCTATTCAGAAGAGTACCGTGTTGGATGTATTGAATGGTGTTGAGAGATACCTTCTGAGTCCTCTACAAATATCAGTATTTAAATATGATAGATACTACCAATTTTATTTGTACCAGCTTTTTGTATTTCTGATATTTCTAATCATCTATGTTTCTATTATAACTGCCAATTTTTCATCATTCTCCACATAATAATTGCTGAATAACTGCACACTCTCAAGTATTTCTTCCTGAAAAATTGGTCTTATTTAGAGATAATATATATTTCAACCTTACTGTCCAAGATGCTGCCTTCTTTTCTGAAAGGAAATAAAATCATTTATCTAAAATGATGTACTGCACAATGGTGTATTTCATCTCTTTGCTGGTTGATTGGAATATTAAAAAGATAAAAATGATATAATGATAAACTATATAATGAAGATTAAAAATAACTACTTTAGGGCAACTTTTTGGGAAATCAGCATTAGGGCATATCAAAATTAAATTGCTTTTAAAAGTTAATGATTTGGGAAATCAGCTTTCCATTGCAATAGCTGTAAACATTGGTGTTGTATTATATGATTAATTGCTTAATAGCATTCTATTTCATCATGAACTTCAGAAAATGCCTGCAGGTTAATATGAAATTGAAGAAAACAGATCTATGAATAAAGATATGCAAATTGATTTAGATCAGATTGATTAACCATTAAACATAAATGGATTGGAGAACAATTTTTATTTCTTTATATAAAACTGAAATATTTTTTCCCCTTCGATTCCTTAATCTACTTTGCTTTCAATCATGTTATCATATTTATCCATATTGTTATGACTGTTTTCTTGTATTCTAAGCAAATCCTGTTCATAGACATTTCCCATTCTGCAAAATATTGATAAAATTTGCATAATTCAATGCAAATAATATTTTTAGAATGGTTAAAATTCTGATTCTCCACAGAGGAAGTCACCCTTATTTTATTTCTAGACAATATCAAATCAATGTCTGATGAAATTCTTGAATAAATTTTATTTGGAAAATTAAAGTAAAAATACAAACTCCAAAAAGAAAAAAAGAAAAAGTAAAAGAAATTTTACAAAAACAAAGCAAAGATAGACAAAACATTAGAAAAGAAAAAAAATGCATTAAAAAAAGCAAAAGACAAAAACACATATACATAAGTTATTCTTCCTAGTTGAATACTGATAAATACATTGAAATAAACATCTCATTTATTTTGTTCTGATCTATTTGCATTAAACACATTTGTATTTTTTATTTTATGCAATACAATATTGTAATGATCAATATGACAACGATAAAACATTTTCTTCACTACTCAGTACAATTATTTATTATTTGAAGTAAAAGTATATAAAAACTAAACTATTCTATACACGTGAATACACACACACACACACACATACAACATTTTAACTTGAGAGATCAATTTTGATAATTTGTCCAAAGACATCAGTCAAAGAGCACTTTACTCCCTAAAATAAGTTTTGCTTATTTAAAGCATGTGCATGTATGTGTAGATATAGACATATGATCTTAAAATTTCCTGTTCCCCCCTTCCAAAAGAAGTGGAAAAAGTCTTTTTCTGAAAACATTTTTATTCACATGAAAAGAGGACTATCCCCTCCACTTGTGTATCTGTTTCTCTCTTTCTTCCCAATTTCCTTCCTACATTTCTTTCATTTGTTTTTAACATTAACCAGGCTTCTCAACATATTTTGGATTACATTGAAAATTGCTACTTTATTTTTTACTCTTCTCAAAGCCTTCTTTACATCTTTGTTTCTCAGGCTATATATGAGGGGGTTAACCAATGGTGGAAGAATTGTATACAAAAGAGAACAAAGTTTGTTCATTGACGAGGATGGTGGCAAAAGATACACAGTTATTAAAGAACCATAGTAAATGGAAACAACAATGAGGTGGGAAGAACAGGTAGAGAAGGCCTTTTTCCTTCCAGTAGTGGATGGAATTCTTAGGATGGCTGTTACAATATATACATAGGATGCCAAGGTTATTAGAAATGGAGGCATAGTGTAAATAAATAATAAGATTAAATTAACATGTTCCACCAAATATGTGTCACTGCAAGAAAGTTCTTTAAGTGGCACAGAATCACAAAAATAATGATCAATTTCATTAGGACCACAGTATTTTAATTGCAGCATTGCAGTAATTATTACAGAAATGCCTATGCAACCATTTGTCCAAGATATTGCTGCTAACTGGACACATTTCCTAGTATTCATAACTATTGCATAATGCAGTGGTTTACATATGGCTAGGTACCTGTCATAAGACATCACAGATAGCAAATAACATTCTGCCCCTAAACAATAGCCAAAAAAAAATAATTGCAGGAAACAGTTGCTGAATGAAATTGCCTTTCCATCCATTAAAAGTGTAGTTAACAGTATGGGATTAAGAGTTGAGCTGTAGCAGATCTCTAGGCATGCCAAGTTACAAAGGAAGAAGTACATGGGTGTGTGAAGATTCTGGTCAATCACAACAAGAACAAAAATGAGAAGATTCCCTGTCATTGTGAAAATATAGGTAAAGAGGAATACCAGAAATGGAAGGATCCACAGATGTTCCAAATTTTGAAATCCCAGGAGAATAAATAGAGTGACATGAGTTTGGTTTTCTCTTTGTTCCTCATCCATTCTTAACTTTCTTTTCCATGAGTCTATTAAGATAAATGTGATGTTATAGTATGAAACAATGTCCAATGTCAATGCACTTTTTCATTTTGAATAATTAGAAATTAAAAGGTAAAGACATATCAGAGTCAGGTTTGGTTTCTGGTGTCTAAGGTAGACATAGCCATACAAATCATTTCATTACAGTTCAGAAGTGTCTTGTAATTCTCTTTTTCTGAAATATTTGTTGGGTCTCATCTACTTCCCAGGTATTCCCTGAAAGGAAACATGGGTATAGACTAAATCTTTCATTGTATCTCATACACAGAATATATCTCCAAATTTCATATCATAGCCTGTATTATTAATTTAATTATCCTTTGCTCTGAGAAAATAGACCATGGTTTACTAGTTTCATGAGCTGTAATTAGCTGGCAAATCTTTCCAAATCACAATATAAACATTGCTAATTTGGAGCCATGAAGTTTCTATTAAAAATATCTCTTTGGGAGATAGTTATCATTGTAGTCAGAGTTGAAATTTTAATCATTTAAAGTTCCATGATTTACCATAATTACAATTGATTTTTAAAACCATTATGAATATGTTGATTATGTTGATTATTTCTAATAAGTGCAATTCTGTTCTCTCAAACTTTTTTTTTAACTTTCAGGATTAGCCTCATTTTTGTTAATAGCTACATTCATGGAAATTTGGCACAACAATGAACTGCTAGCTTCCCATTCCTTGCTACTCCTGTTGCAAGATGACCAAACAAATAAAACTTAATACTATGCAGAACTGTAAAACAGATAGAATGACCATACAAACTATTTCCCAGCAAATCAGATAATCATCTTTGCAAAACAATTAGAACATTGATTGATATTCATTAGCATTCAGGAAAGATGGGCTGACCTTTTCATCCCTGCAAGGGAGAAAATGACAGTAACATCAATTCTGCATCCAGTCAACTTCCATTCTTTTGTTATTTCAAAAATGGTATATTTACCAGATAAAAAAATAGTGTTTGATTTCTAGAGTTTTAAGAATATTCAAGAACTGGTAGCAGAAGAAAAAAAGGGAAGGGGAGAAGAAAGGCAAAACAAAGAAAGATAAGTTACAGATATTTAATGATTCACATTTCCATAAATACATACCACAATATTAATACTAATATGGAATATTTTGCTGGAAAAGTGAGTTATCTTTGTTATTTTGATAATTACTTAAATGTGTTTCATCTATGAAGAGCATGCAAATCATATATATTAATGATAAAATAATAAGGGCTAGAGTTAGGATATTGATTTGCAAGATTTTTTTCTTTTTTTCTGATCTTATTGAAATAATTAGTACATAAGCATAACTCCTACTTGCAATGTTTCTGTAGAAGAATATTCCACTTTCATTATGTGTTGATGTATTATAACTTCAATGATGAAAAATAGATCGAGAACGCTGAATGTTGCAGGTCCTCAATGTTAAGAGAAAATTGTGTCTTTATTGAAAGTCCAGCCTTTCATCTTTTGAACTTAGTATACAAATTATTAAATAACTAATGGATGGCATCTCACATGGAATATGATTTATATGACAAATTAGGGAGATATCCCTAGATATTCAGAAGCTACGTTCTAGTTAAAAAAATATGTATAATAGGAGATCTCAAGAGAAAATTGTCAGCAAAGGTTGAAGCATCAAAATCTTTCCCAGTATATGTCTCTCAAGCTCAGTGCTTTGGGTGGTAATTGAGATATGGAATCAAGAGATTCTCAAGCCACAAAAAGACATCTTGAAACTTAACATTGGATATGTGGAAAGGAGAGGAAAGGGGAGAAAGAGGGGAGGGGAGGGGAGGGGAAAGAAAGGGAAAGGGAAAGGAAAAGAAAGAAGGAAAGGAAAGGAAGAAGGAAAGAAAAGGAAAGGAAAGGAAAGGGCACTGTTCTTTGATAATGATGCAAAGACAAATTAATCTGTGTTACATTACCTCTATTAATCTATGTGATATCTGGTTTTAATTTTTAAGTTCTATAGGTTGAGGTGAAAGGAAATAATTTAAAATTATGACATAGACCTTGAGCTGAAATTAAACACAACTGAAATAAACATACTGAAAAATCTTGACAGTTGCTGGAAATTACAACTTTAAAACTTGATGGGAAAGCATTGGCATGAATTAATTAGCCCAGAAAGGAAATTGTTGTTCCCAGTAATGGAATAATTGATGCTTATTTTAGTGATTTATTGACAGAATATTGACAAATTTAAGATATGAATAAAACCTATTGTTGCAGTCTTGTGTAAACAGTTCCTTTTGAAAGATGTAAATCCCTCTTTCTAACTCTTTTTGTATTGCCCTATCATATCTTGTGGGGGGGGGAAGAGGATTTCTTCTTTAGAGGGATGAGCAGAGAATGCCAGGAGTGTATATTCCCAACAAGATCTCATAAGACATAAAGGTCATTCTAGATGCCAAGCTAAAGCAAGTAGACACTTATACTGGGCAGAAGCAATATAGAAAGATGCTGCAAAGAGATCATGGGAGAAGGCAAAGATAAATCACTCCTATAAGTTTACAAAAAAGCTACATGGTTGGAACATGTAAATGATTGAAAAATATAATGCTAGATGATGGGTAACCCAGTGATTGCATGATGCTACTGAGGAATTGCTAAAGATATTTAGAGTATTAATCGTGTTTACAATATAGCTAGATTAAAGCTTTTATATTCCTAATATTGCCATAGAGGAAAAGACAAACTGCAAAGACAAAAATACAGTAGGAACATGGAATAAAAATAGCATAGACAAAGGAAAGCTCAATATATTGAAAGATTTCCTGAAAACACTACAGACTGACATCTTAAGGCAGGGCTTTTCAACGTTTTCACCCATTGTACCACTTTTAGGATATGGCAATATCTGAGTACAACCAGTCACCTAGCAAGGTGTCAAAAACTTGATGATAAAAAAGGAAAAAGTGATGAAATACAGCTAGTCCTCGACTTACAACAGTTCGCTTAGTGACTGTTCAAAGTTACAATGGCATTGAAAAAAGTGTCCCCCAAGCCACAGCCTAACAAGACACTTGCCTGCCCACCCGGTGGCACTCTTCCTCCTGTCCGAGGTTTTCATTGTTGTGAGCATTTCTGTTGAGAATTGGCAGTGGGGGTTGGGTGGAGGTGTTTGGTTTTTATTCCCCTCGTCTGCTGAGTGGTTGTAGCAGGTTTTGGTCACTTCACATGACCCTGGGACACTATAACTGTCATAAATATGAATCAGTTGCCAAGCATCTGAATGTAAATCACAAGACCCTGGAGATGCTGTAACATTCCAGCTGATCGGCACTTCTTCTGGGCTCAGCGGAAGTACCAGGATCAGCGCCGAGCTCTAGTGGAGCCTGGCGCTAATCCTGGTGCTTCCACTGAGCCCTGACAGCCCCGAAGAAGCGCTGATGCTGGTGCTTCCGCTAAACCCTGATAGCCCTGCAGCTCCAGCCATCTCTCGCTCAGGCTTGTGTGGTGCTGCCACTGGTTCAGCTCATTCCCCTCCCCCGCTACCACTTTTCTAGGATGGTTGTGTACCACCTGCCAGGTGCCAATGTACCACAGGTGGTACCTGTATCACTGGTTGAAAAGCCCTGTCTTAAGCAGTCAGAAAAACACAATATTTATTACTTGGAAAATGGAAAACAAAGAAGTCATGCTGTAGCTCTTATAAATAGAAAAAAAAGTACTTGGCTGCAATGGCATCTATTATGAGATAAGATCAATTAGACTGCCCTTCAATATGATTATCTAAATTTTACTTTAATAAAACTTGTGAATAGGAAGAGGTAGTTGATGATATTTGTAATATCATATGATATTTATGATCAAGTTCAATTTGAAATCATGAGAACATGCAAGCAAGATGTGCTGCTTATTAGTTGGGCAAAAGCTGGATTTTGAAGAACTGGGACAGATAAAGTATTGATCCTTTTGAAATTTTCAGAAGAAAACTCCTGAGAATACCATGGACAACCAATAAAATAAACCAATGCATCACTGAACAAATCAAACTAAAGTTCTCCTTTGAGGCCCAAATGACCAGGCTCAAGTTATCCTACTTTAGATACATTATAGATTAACTCCAAGTTCAACTTCAGACCAACACTCAAGTAAGCAATATCCCAAACAAGAAACTGCCAAAGAGCCATTAGTATACAGCCCAACCAAAATATCCCTCACCCATCCAGAAAGGCAAGAGACCAGAATATAAACTGACAGCAAACAGCACTCCTTACTAGCAATGATGATGTCACCTAGTTGGGGTAATGAAAGGTCTGCAAGAAAGAAAGAAAGCTCAGAGGACCCCACATTATGCAAGAAAAGACAAGAATATGTCAAGGTGAATGTATTGAGTGGATGCATAATTGGAAAATCAGAGGGATCAGTTGGGGACAAATAGTCATAGAGAAAATCTACCTATCTTTCCTGTAAGATTTAATACCACATTCATATCTCAAAAGTTCCCATTCTCCACAAGGAGAAATCATCCTTATTTTATTGCTGGACAGTAGGAATATTAAATCAATGTTTAAAGAAAGATATGTGCATTTACGAAGCATTATTTCTCCAGTGATTATTTATTCTTTTTGCCTCATTATGCTGGAAGAATTCTATTTTGAGATATTCTCTTGAGAGAACTATTCATACTTGTATAAATAGCATATTACTATTAAAATGTATATAAATGTGCTATTCTTGGGATTAAATGTATGGTTTTCAAAAGGTGTTCCTAAATGTACAAGTGCAGGTGAACCCTAGGTAAGAGAATTTGACATTTATTTATTTATTTATTTTCCATCTTGCTCACAAAGTGGCTCTGAGCAAACACATAAGACAAATATATAAATGTCTTAAAATCATATAACATATGATGTATCAATAAAAAAGTACATGAAAAAAGAACAGAATAAATTAAATGTTAAATGTTAAAAGGTAGGGAGATGGCTTTCAAGGCACCAACCTAGTTTAAACATAAAAGATATGTACAGTATATGGATATATGTTTTTGTAGGGTGGATAAAATGGTGTTAGTCCTTTTATGAAAATAGTCTTGAATACTAACAAGAAATTAAGATTTTTTTTAAAAAAATGATGAATTAAGCAAATATAAATGTAAAAGCTAGTGTTTACACTAGAAAAGATTAATTTTTGGTAAGCAATTAAGTATTTGCTAGTCTTTTTATTTATTTAATAGTAATAATTTTGATTTATAAAGTCACTCAATTCACAATTTTTTTTAAAAAAAAAATCTTAATGTCTTGTTAGTATTCAAGACTGTTTTCAGAAAAGGATTTCAACATCATTTTACCATCTCACAAAAACATGTATTAAGATGTTGAATTATCAGCAAGGAATCCAAATTCTGGTACCGCTTTAAACACACTAATGAGCTGGAAAATCTTTTACTGATCAGTCTGTCTCAACCCTAGTAAAGCACTTCCTAAAGTCTTGGAGCTGAATCATTCTTTTAGCAATAATTTGATAACTTGCTATCTTAGACAAGATATCTTTTGTTTTTCAGGATGACTTTGAAGGTAAATTTGATGATCTTTTCAAGAGTGAACTCTTTCATGCATTGTGAATATTATAACATTATAGTAACTCCCATAATATTTTATTTTAACTTTCTGTTCCAGAAATCAAATACATAATTAAATAATTGATGGTACACATCATCCCAATATTAAATGTCCACTCTCTGCACAGGAATAGAAAAGGTTGTTTGACAGGTTCCCCTTTTCCATTCACAGGATTCTGTATCTTGTTCCAATGTATTTAATTTATTAATGTGTATAAACATCTGAGAGCTGTCCGAAAAAAGAAACAGCTTCTCTATAATAAATTTTCTATTTCTTTTTTAACAGAATGTGAAGTTCTCATTTTCATGATGATCAGAAATCAAACAAAAATTGCTGAATTTGTCCTTCTGGGATTTGGGGAATACAGTAAAGCACAGTCACTTCTTTTCCTGATTTTCCTAGTAATTTATGCTGTATCTGTAACTGGAAACACTCTCATTGTGGCATTAGTTATCTTTGATCGCCACCTTCATACACCCATGTACTTCTTCCTGGGGAACCTTTCTTTCTTGGAGGTTTTCTACAGCTCCAATATATTTCCAAGGTTGCTTCTTGCTCTTCTTATTGGAAACAACATTATTTCATTTAGCAGCTGTTTCACACAGTGGTATCTCTTTGGTTCCTTAGAGGCTACAGAATGTTGCTTACTGTGTGCAATGTCTTATGACCGATATCTAGCTATCTGTAAACCACTGCACTATGCAACAATTATGAAAGCCCGAACTTGTATCCAATTAGTTGCTGCATCTTGGGTCAGTGGATTTATAACTATTGTGACATTATTTCATCTCATGTTACAACTAACGTTTTGTAGCTCAAATGAAATGGATCACTATTTTTGTGACTACTTCTCAGTTCTTAATCTCTCTTGCACTGATACTAGCTTGATAGAAATTATGGGTTTTATTATGGCTGTCCTATTCACACTTCCACCTTTTCTCTTAACTCTGATCTCTTACATATATATCATAGCTGCTATATTGAAAATTTCTTCTACTACTGGAAGACAGAAGGCTTTTTCTACCTGTTCCTCTCACTTGGTTGTGGTTTCCATTTTTTATGGTTCACTCATGATTGTGTATATGCTACCAAAGAATGATGTCAATAGAAAAATGGAAAAAATATCCTCTCTGTTATACACAGTTTTGCCCCCTCTCACCAATCCTTTCATATACAGCTTAAGGAATAAGGAAGTCAAAGAGGCACTGAGAAATAACATTAGAAAACTTGTGCAATGCAGAGTAAAGTCTCCAAAGCTAATTAATATAATAAAGATATAATAAAAAGGACATATAACATAAACTTCTTTTCTCAAGCTTAAGCTTGACAAAAGAATAGAATAGAATAGAAGAGAAGAGAAGAGAAGAGAAGAGAAGAGAAGAGAAGAGAAGAGAAGAGAAGAGAAGAGAAGAGAAGAGAAGAGAAGATACTTTATTTGGCTATTGTGATTAGATGCACAAGGAATTTGTCTCTGGTGAAGAAGCTCTCAGTGTGCATGCAAAGCAACAGAATAGTGATAATCATAATAATAAGAGCGTGTAGTAGAGAAGATTGGAAGGTTAATAATACTACTACAGTGGATGAATCTACTTAGACATAAGACTGTATTGTGTAGATTAGATGTTCATCAGAATGATGGCATGAAAGAAAAAAAAATGTCCCTGTTGTTTTGGCATGTAAAGCCCTATAGCAGCATCCCAAGTAAAAAAGATTATGCCTGGGATGTGAGCGATCTATGGTTATTTTCTCAGCTCTCCTTCTGATCCAATCACTATACAGGTCTTTTATGGAAGGCAGGCTGGTTGCAATTATTTTTTCTGTTGTCCTTACTAGCCATTGGAGTCTGTAACTGTGCTGTTTAGTTACTGTACCAAACTAAACAGTTATAGAAGTACAAATGACAGATTCAGTCATTCCTGTACAGAACTGTATTAACAGCTCCTGGGACAGTCTGAATTTCTTAAGTTGATGCAGGAAGAGCATTCTTCCTGCATCAACAACAGAAAGAATATGACTAGTTATATATAGGAAAAAAAACTGCATATGTAAGGGAACTGCATATGGGGTCCTGAAAGGCTCTACATAGTAATGGGCTTAACAGTATCCATCTCTATGCTGTAATATCCCAGTAGACATTTAAAATCACTGTGGCTAAATATGATTACCACAAATATGAAGGGAATCTCCCTGTAGTGTAATGAAACTCAACAGTCGTAATTTGTCTTTGTTTCTGATTATTATTAAATAATAATCATTATTTAATGATAATAATATTTTTCCGTATATCTACATAAGAGGTTACATTTGTTTTATGTGTATTCTTTCTAATATACTTAATTTCTGTTTTGCATAATAAATGAATTTGGAAAGCAGTTTTTCCTAATATAAATTATTCTTGGTAATTTAATATACAACACTTTTGTGTTTTGAGAGTTCTACAACATGTTAAAATCCCTTTTATATTTAGATAGTTTTGGAAAGCTTCTCAAATTAGGACATACTGTACATCTTTTTTTTCCCCCTCAACCAGAAACTTCACATTATGGGCTTGCATGAACCAGCCTTTTATCTTTTTTTCAGATTGGAAATAATGAATTTAAAAGCAGATGCAACATTCAAGGGTAAAACTTTTTTCCCCACTGTATTTTATGATTTAAAATTCAACCTGAAAAAAATATTTTATCCACAATCCATAATGGGTAAGCATTAGGAAACAAATCATCTCTTTTTGTTAAATGAGACTAAAATAGCAGGGAGAGTGAATCCTTTAGATGATATTAACTCTGTCAAGTTTTCACAGTTTCATCATATTTTTTGCTGTTATTGCTATTATATTCCTCCATAGACATGCAAACTTTCCATATCTCTTTCAAGAAAAGAAAAAGAATAACACATCAGCTTCCCACCATCACAAGGGGAAAAAAAAGCATAATTCGTGATGTTTATGTTCAGTTTTTTGGGGAAAATCCTGGAATGATATCATAGTGCAGTTTAAAATATATTGGTTATTTATAACACTCTGAAAAGAGTTGAGATAAAACAATGGGGCAACACTTCACCCTATTTCAGGGATTTTAAAAAAATGTGAAAGGAAATTAATTCTTCTTTCTTAAATGGCAGGTCATATGGTGTGATTATCACTCTCCCCAAAAGAAGAAATTTCAATTTTTCTATGGTGCTCTCTTAAACTTTTAAAGACATTTTAGGGGCATATTGCCTATTGTTCGTCAATTTATATTTCTGCTTTTAACAATGCTGATGGTGTTTTAATTACATCATTGGGAGTTTATTTGTTTTTTTCTCCCTTAGCTGGCAGACAAGGAGTTCTGGATATAATTAATTAGCCAATAAACTGAATGGGCTACAAACAGCCATATGTTTTGCAGTTTTATTTTATCATTCATTTGTCTCTTTATCACTCTTTATCACACTTATGAACTGTTGGCTTCATAAGGTATGCAGCAAAAAGGGCTATTTTTTGATTCATTCTTTACTAATATGCCAACTAATTTTTTCCAAGGAAACAGAGGCCTTAAATATGCAAAGTACTTGAGGGTTTTCCCATAAGGGCTTTGAGAAATGCACAATGATGTAACATTTTGCTTTCCATATTAATCTATGTTTTGCTCCCCATCCAGTTCATACTAGTTTGTTTTCAAAATACACATCTGTTGGCTACATATCTATCTTCTCCTTAATAAAACCAACATACTTGGATAGTAATAGTAATACTATCCAAGTATTACTATTTTATCCTTTTAAGTTAAATTTTATCATATCTAAATAAACAACATTTCTTATAGGTAGTACATTCTTTTACATCAAAAAATAAAAACAAAAGGCCCAGAAGAAATTAAAACAGAAACAAACTAAAGAAAACAAAAAGCAGATTGGTTCATATTTTTATACATTAAAGTAGTTATTTATTCTGAATAAGATAAGAGGAAGGAGTTTTTCACCATGAAATACTTCAACAGAGAATATCAAGCAGCAACAGAATGGTAACTATCACTATGTAAACTTTGTTTGTTTTGGGAAAATAATTAAAGAACTGATCTTTCAAACAAGTATGTTCTGTAGAATATGTTTCCAGAGTTATAGCTAGCTATGTTCAGTTATTTCAGCAACAATCACAAATATGGTTTTATTAATTTCATTTTAAGATTAGCAAATTAACTTGGTAAAATAAATATTTAAATAAAAATAGCTGCATAGGTGCCCTAATGGAATGGCCTTGGAAGACAAGATGAAGATTAGACAATATTCATGCAAAAGATATGTCAGTTTGAAAATGCAAAGGGGGCATGAGAAGCATTTCAGAAAGGACTCCCATGTAGTTTTTAATATTTTTTGATATAGTCAAAAAGAAATATTTTCTTCTGTTTAATTTATTTGTCTATTCAAATGTGAATGTCTGATTGTATGTGTAAATATTATTCAACCTGAGATAGTTTCAGAGAAAGCAAAAATGTTTTAAGCAGAGTTTAACAAGAATTTTCATTCAAAAAGTTTTTTATGTTGTTAGAACAATGTATCATTATGATATGCATGTATGCTTCTTTTTAAATTACAGTACAAAAATAAATATTTATGCACTTAATTAGATTTAGAAAAATAGTAGTTGAAAGGATACTAAACTATTTTTATTTACATTAGATTAATTTACAGCTTTACATTCTATCCTTTAAAATAATATGACAAAAAGAGAGCTTTGATTAGTTTCATGTTTGCAACTAGTCAATCAATATAAATAACAATTGTCAGGAAAGACAAAATATACATTATACATAAACATAAATATATTGTGAGGATAAACAAATGAAATACAGAGACATAACATTTTCAAGCTATCTCTGTCAATTCTTCATCAAGTATAGAAAAAAAATTAAAGTATGTCAATCAGATGACAGGTAAGACATTAAACACATTGACTTGTTGGTCAAAATATCACTAAGAAAAAATAGCTTGAATATCACTATGACAATATGTTGAGTTTGTGCATTTTGTTTCTTTTCTTTTTTCAATAGGACATGGTTTTCCTAGTTGCCATGATGCTGAGGAATCAGACAAAGATAGATGAATTCATTCTGCTTGGATTTCATGAATTTTGTGAATTTCGAAGATTTCTTTTTCTGAGTTTTCTACTAATTTACATTGTAACCATGACTGGAAACTTTCTCATTGTTATGCTAGTCATCTTTGATGAGCATCTTAAAGTGCCAATGTATTTCTTCTTAGGAAGCCTTTCTTTCCTTGAAATTTATTATAGTTCCAATATATTCCCAAGGATGCTTTCAGCTCTCCTAACTGGTGATGGAACCATTTCTTTCAGCAACTGTTTTATGCAGTGGTACCTCTGTAGTTCTTTGGTAGCTACAGAATGCTGTTTACTATGTGTGATGTCTTACGACAGATATCTAGCAATTTGTAAACCACTGCATTATTTGACAACCATGAATTCTCAGACTTGTATTTATTTAACAGCTTCATCTTGGATCAATGGATTTGCTATATTTTCAATTTTGCTCATTTTGATGTTACAGCAATTAACGTTTTGCAGATCTAATGAAATAAAACATTATTTCTGTGACTATTTTGCCCTTCTAAGCATTTCCTGTAGTGCAACTTGGGTATTGGAAATTATGAGTTATGTTGTAGCTGCCATCTTCATACTTCCTCCTTTTCTCTTAACTCTCTTATCCTATGTTTATATTATAGATGCTATCTTAAAAATCCCCTCTGTCACTGGAAGGCAGAAAGCCTTTTCCACCTGTTCTTCTCATCTGGTTGTGGTTTCTATTTTCTATGGATCTCTCATGATTGCTTACATGCTGCCACGAACAGAAAAAGCAGATGTGCCAAAATTTTCTTCTTTTTTATACATAGTACTGCCTCCACTAGCAAACCCATTTATATACAGTCTAAGAAATAAGGAAGTCAAAGAGGCCCTAAGAAATAATATTGGTAGACTGATACTATACAAACCAACTTCTCCGTTTAGGGTATAAAATTGTGAAAGGGAAAAGTTTGATAGTATTTCAAGATTTTTTTTTAAAAAAATATTGATTTATACATTAAAAATATGTTTTTGAACTCCAGCAGGCCTATTTGTATAAGAAGATCTTTACTTAGTTCCAAAATTTCCAAGTCCTTTATCAGGTACATGTTCATTCCATGTTAATGTAGGAGGAAACTCTAACTATATAGGATGGAATCTACATTAAGTTGAATTTTCTTCAGATATTACAGATCTAAAGTATAACATCTGTGATGAATAATTGTTTTATATTCCAGAAGTCCCTAATTTGACTGCTTTACCAAAGCATTGCCTTACACGCAGTGGTGGGATTCAAATATGTGAACAACCAGTTCTCTATGCCACTTCCAGAAGTCCATTATAGGCCTGGGCAACAAAAAATTAGCTACTGGTTCTGCTGAAGTGGTGTAAACTGGCTGAATCCCATCACTGCTTACACATTACCAGAACCTTTGGTGTGCCTGAAAGAGTTGTAGTTGGTTTAGATTCTTCCACAAATGCAAAAAAGAGAGAGAAGAAGAAGAAGAAGAAGAAGAAGAAGAAGAAGAAGAAGAAGAAGAAGAAGAAGAAGAAGAAGAAGAAGAAGAAGAAGAAGAAGAAGAAGAAGAAGAAGAAGAAGAAGAAGAAGAAGAAGAAGAAGAAGAAGAAGAAAACAACACTCAGTTGCCATAATGATTGCCTTCTAAGAATTGTTTATTTTTGTTTTGCTTTTTCTGGAACTTTGCAGACATTTAGGAGTTCTTATCTAAATCATCACTAAAATTATAAACTTGTAATTTTTATCTTCTGAACTTATTAATATTTTTCTTTAGAAATAACTAAAAACCTAGGTCATGCCTTGTTGGTGTTTTACCTGAATTACTATATCAGTTTGTGGGCAGACTTTTCTGATTTTTCTCCATCTATTGCAGAAGTCCCCAAACTTTTGGGCACAAGTGGCCGGTTCTGTGGAAAGATGGTTTTCTATGGACCAGAGGGTGTGTAGTTTTGTGTACTGCCTGCATCTCGCAGATGGGGTTTGCTTGTTTATGTGGACTGGTTGCTGGCATGCTGTGGCCCAGTACTGGTCCATGGACTGGGGACCCTTGATATATTGGATCAAGTCCTGAATCACTCACAGGTGACTTCTGTGACTGATGGTCTTTCCCAATATACCCTTACTTCTTCTTGTCAATCAGTATATCTGTTGCCAAAGGTTTAGTAGATCTATCCAGTTTACTTGATGATGCTAACCAACAGGAGCAACTAATTATTTGAATTATTTCATTAAAATTCATGTTTTTATCTACTTGTTCAATCATACAGAAAAATTCAATTAAATTTTGTTTATATTAAAATGATAACTTCACATTTTAGATATGATTCTCATCTTATTCTTACAATCTAGAATCAGTTCATAATGATCTGAATCTTTGGGTTATGTTGATCTTTTGATTTTTTGAAGATACCTTTTACAAGCTTCTTTTTGGAAGACTTTATTAAGCCATAAAGCTCATAATTTACTATTGCTTCGTACTGCTAATATTATAAAATATTTTTATTTATATACACATAAAAACCCACATGGAGAGAAAACATCTTACATGGATCATTATATTGTGATATTAATGATTAAATATCTAATTTAGAGTATATGCAATTACTATTGTTAATACTACTATGATCGTAGGTATTTGATAGAAATTATGATAGGAAATGGGTTAAGCTGTACCATGATGTCAGAATGTAAAATTGAGTTTTTTACTCTTCATCTCAATGTTGTATATAAAGTAAGTATATGTATCACATTGTTTAAATTACAATATTGCAAGGCTCTTTTTGTATTTGTATGTCTTGTTCACATGAATAAGGTTTTTAAAAGTAAATGGGTGATTAATGAAACAGCTTCTGAGTGATGCTTTCACATGTTTTTTTTTCCCAAAACATTTATTCAAAAATAAATCTACCTACATGATGATTGTTGTGAGGAAAATAGGAATAGGAACATTATGGAACCTAAACAGAATTTATGAATGGATAATGGAACACCAAAGAGAAAATAGATAGATAGATAGATAGATAGATAGATAGATAGATAGATAGATAGATAGAGTTTGTTTGATTGTTTGCAACACTAATTAAATGGATCAAGTTATTTAGCCAGTCTGATCACATGCAGTTATATTAATATAAATTACAGCATTCTCTCCTTCATGGATTACTGCCTTGTCGTGGTGAAGGGGCTTGCGTAATTCAATGAAGCTATGAGCTATGCCATGCAGGGCCACCCAAGACGGACAGGTCATAGCAGGAGTTCTGACAAAATGTGATCCACTGGAGAAGGAAATGGCAAACTACTCCAGTATCTTTGCCATGAAAACCCCATGGACAGTACCAAAAGGCAAAAAGATATGATGCTGGAAGATGAGCCCCTCAGGTTGGAAGGTGTCCAATATGCTACTGGGGAAGAGCAGAGGGTAGTACTAGTAGCGCCAGAAAGATGAAGCAACTGGGCCAAAGCCGAAAGGACGCTCAGCTGTGGATATATCTGGCAGTGAAAGGAAAGTCCGATGCTGTAAAAAAAATATTTTCTCCATAGGAACCTGGAATGTAAGATCCATGAATCAAGGCAAGCTAGACATAGTCAAAAAAGAGATGACAAAACTGAACATTGATATCTTAGGAATCAGTGAACTAAAATGGACAGGAATGGGTGAATTTAACTCAGATGACCATCAGATATACTACTGCGGACAAGAATCCCTCAGAAGAAATGCAATAGCCTTCATAATCAATAAAAGAATAGGAAAAACAATACTGGGATACAATCCCCAAAATGACAGAATGATCTCAGTTCGAATCCAAGGCAAACCATTCAATATCACAGGAGTCCAAATATATGCCCCAACCATTGGTGCCATAGAGGATGAAATTGACCGGTTCTATGAAGCCCTACAGCACCTTATAGAATTAACACCAAAAAATGATGTCCTTATCATCATGGGGGATTGGAATGCTAAAGTAGGAAGCCAAAAGATAAATGGAATAAAAGGCAAGTTTGGCCTTGGAGTACAAGCTGCACAGGCTGATAGAATTTTGTCAAGAGAATATGATGGTCATAACAAACACTCTTTTCCAACAACCCAAGAGATGGCTCTACACATGGACATCACCAGACATCACCAACACAGAAATCAGATTGACTATGTGCTCTGCAGCCATAGATGGAGAAGCTCTATACAATCAGTAAAAACAAGACCAGGAGCTGACTGTGGCTCAGATCATAAGCTTCTCATTGCAAAAGTTAGGCTTAAATTGAAGAAAGGAGGGAAAAGCACTAGGTCACTCAAGTATGAACTAAATCATATTCCTGATGAATATACAGTAGAGGTGAGAAATAGATTTAAGGAATTAGATCTGATAGACAGAGTGCCTGAAGAACTATGGATGGAGGTTCGCAACATTGTACAAGAGGTAGCAACTAAAACCATCCCAAAGAAAAAGAAATGCAAGAAAGTAAAATGGCTATCTGTGAAAGCTTTGAAAAGCTTTGAGGAAAGAAGGGAAGTGAAAGGCAAAGGAGAAAGAAAAAGATACATCCAATTGAATGCAGAATTCCAGAGAATAGCTAGAAGAGATAAGAATACCTTATTAAATGAACAGTGCAAAGAAATAGAAGAAAACAACAGAATAGGGAGGACCAGAGATCTCTTCAAGAAAATTGGAGATATGAAGGGAACATTTCATGCAAAGATGGGCATGATAAAGGACCAAAATGGCAGGGATCTAAAGAGGCAGAAGAGATTAAGAAAAGATGGCAAAACTGTAACACAGAAGAACTATACAAGAATGAGCTTAATGTCCCATATAACCATGATGGGGTGGTCACTGACCTTGACTCAGACATCCTAGAATGTGAAGTGAAATGGGCATTAGGAAATCTGAGCAACAACATAGGTAGTGGAGGTGACAGCATTCCAGATGAGCTATTCAAAATCTTAAAAGACGATGCAGTAAAATTGCTACACTCAATTTGCCAGCAAATTTGGAAAACTCAACAGTGGCCACAGGAATGGAAAAGGTCAGTTTACATTCCAATTCCAAAGAAAGGCAATGCCAAAGAATGTTCAAACTATCGCACCATTGCACTCATTTCACATGCTAGTAAAGTTATGCTTAAAATCCTACAAGCTAGACTCCAGCAGTATGTGGATCGAGAACTACCAGAAGTACAGGCGGGATTTCGAAGAGGCAAAGGAACTAGAGATCAAATTGTCAACATATGCTGGATCATGGAGAAGCACTAGGGAGTTCCAGAAAAATATCTACTTCTGCTTCATTGACTATGCTAAAGCCTTTGATTGTGTGGATCACAACAAATTGTGGCAAGTTCTTAAAGAGATGGGAGTACCAGACCATCATATTTGTCTCTTGAGAAACCTATATGTGGGTCAAGAAGCAACAGTGAGAACTGGACACAGAACCACTGATTGGTTCAAAATTGGGAAAGGAGTCCGGCAAGACTATATACTGTCACCATGCCTATTTAACTTATATGCAGAGCACATCATGAGAAAGGCAGGACTAGATGAATCAAAAGTTGGAATTAAGATTGCTGGGAGAAATATCAACAACCTAAAGTATGCAGATGATACCACTCTAATGGCCGAAAGTGAAGAGGAACTAAAGAGCCTCTTGATGTGGGTGAAGGAGAGTGCAAAAGCTGGCTTGAAACTCAACATTAAGAAAACCAAAATCATGGCATCCGGCCCTTTCAATTCCTGGCAAATAGATGGGGAAGAAATGGAGGTAGTGACAGATTTTATTTTCCTGGGCTCCAAGATCACCTCAGATGGAGACCGCAGCCAAGAAATTAAAAGACGCTTGCTCCTGGGGAGGAAAGCTATGGCAAATCTAGACAGCATACTAAAAAGCAGAGACATCATCCTGCCAACAAAAGTGCGTATAGTCCAGGCCATGGTTTTCCCATTTGCAATGTATGGCTGTGAAAGTTGGATCATAAGAAAGGCTGAGCGCCAAAGAATTGAGGCCTTTGAACTATGGTGCTGGAGAAGACTCCTGCAAGTCCCCTGGACTGCAAGGCGTTCAAACCAGTCAGTCCTAGAAGAGATCAACCCTGACTGCTCTTTAGAAGGCCAGATCCTGAAGTTGAAACTCAAATACTTTGGCCACCTAATGAAAAGGAAGGACTTACTGGAGAAGGGCCTAATGCTGGGAAAGATTGAGGGCAATAGAAGAAGGGGACGACAGAGAATGAGACGGCTGGATGGAGTCACTGAAGCAGTAGGGATGAACTTAAATGGACTCCAGAAGATGGTAGATGACAGGAAGACCTGAAGGAACTTTGTCCATGGAGTCGCGATGGGTCGGACACAACTTCACAATTAACAACAACAACAACAGGATTCAGTTTCACAAAAAAAAATCTTTTTAAATTATTATTATTAGTATTGCACATGTCTGAAAAGTAGCCCTGTTGAGAAGAATCAATCCTTGAAGCACCCGAAAGAGAGGCAGTAGGCATGATCTCTCCCCTTCTTATTGGGATTACCTGTTGATGGTGGAGACAACTCACTGTACTGCAGTGTCCCACATTCCCAAAGAAGCCCCTGATCCAGAAGGGTATCATGGTTGATCAAGGCACACAAGGTTGATCAAGGCACAGAAGGATGCACTGCCCTTCTCAGTTCTGCCAATGATTATTTAAGTATCAACAGTACTGACTCTGTACTGAATACCATTGATTTTATGATCCCTGATAGTTCTGATTTCCATAGATATAGTATCACTGGATACTAGACAATGAATGTAGAATGTTTCCTATCAACTTTGCTTTAGTTTCCCCCCCCCCCAACATTTTTTTATTGTATATTTTTGTCCAAAGTAAAAATTGGGAAATAGAAAGCTGATGCTTCTTGGTTACAATGTTAATAGCAGGTAGATTTTTTTAAAAAAAAGAAATATATCTTTGTATATAAAAAAGTTATGAAAACAAGATTTATGGCCTAATACTAAATGGGGGAGACACAAAGTTTTCTTGACATACTTTGCTATGGAAGCTAGAGGAAAGTTTTCAGGAAGAACAGCAGTATTAATATGATGAACTGAAGCAATAGGCACCAGATTAACATTTCTCCTTGGGATAATTAATGTTCTCTCTAGAGGGACAGAGGCAGATTATGATTCTGTAAGCTCCCAATCACCAGAAAGACAAATGTTCAAAAAGTGAAGACTAAATAATGAAATACTGCAATAGTCATTCAGACTCACAAAGATGCACTTACTGTTATATCACAGAGGTAACCTTCTTTATATTTCATAATTTTTTTTCTGACAATGTTCAATGAAAAGAAAGTATTTTTTTTTAAAAAAATGGGTTTCTTGACAAAAAGATTCATCAAAATAAAAGAGTGTTTGCATTGCAAAAAACAATATTCAATTGTCCCTTAACATAAAATCATTATTGCAGAAATGATAATGAGTGAAAAAAGAATTACCAGTCCTCTTTTCCAATGGAATGTATTAGTTATTGATTTATAACATCCTATTTCTCTTTTTTTCCCCAGGATACAATAGAAGATCTGTTTATTCAAATTATATGCATTTTTTATTATGCAATAAATGGCCTAAAGAAGTTAGATGAACATCACAGAATTTATAATTTTGGGGTTTGGAAAATTTGGACAATGGCAGTCTACTCTTTTCTTTACTTTTCTAATGCTTTATATTATAGCAATGGCTGGAAATATTCTTGTTGTAATTTTAATTGCAGTTGATCAACATCTTCATACCCCCATGTACTTCTTCCTAGGAAATTTGTCATGCTTGGAAACTTGCTATATCTCAAATATTGTACCCAAGATGATGATCGGCTTATTGACTGATGAAAATACCATTTCATTCAATGGCTGTTTTTTGCAGTTTTTTTGCTTTGGCTTGCTAGTGGCTACTGAATGTTATCTCCTGTCTGTAATGTCATATGATCGATATTTAGCAATATGCAAACCATTGCATTATGCAATGAGTATGAATGCTCGAATTTGTATCCAGCTAGCAGCTTCTTCATGGATAAATGGCTTTATAGCTGCTTTGATCCTTTTAAGTTTAATGCTACAACTTACATTCTGTGGTCAAAATGAAATTAATCATTACTTTTGTGACACTCTTCCACTAATAAAACTTTCCTGTAGTGACACCAGCCTGGTAGAACTTACAAGTTTTATCTTTACCTTTGCATTTACACTTCCTCCTTTTGTCCTCACTGTGACTTCCTATATATACATCATAATTACCATCTTGAAAATTCCTTCCACTATTGGGAGGAAAAAAGCCTTTTCCACTTGCTCATCTCATCTAATAGTGGTTTCTATGTTTTATGGAGCCATCATGATTGTATATTTGTTACCAAAATCTGAAGCACTTAGTGAAGTTAGCAAAAATTTTTCTCTGTTATATACAGTCCTGCCCCCTGTTGCAAATCCTCTCATTTACAGCCTGAGAAATAAGGAGATGAAGGATGCCATGAAGAAGACATCAATAAAGTTTATATCTTTTAAGTTTTACAGAGGATAATTATGATGGTTCAAAATGAGAACATTAGTAAGAATCTTACTTTAAATCTTTGAACTTTCTGCCTTCTTCGCATGAGAGTTCATTAACATCTTTGTTCAAATATGTCCAATCTGTTAGTTCATATCTCAATTAAGTCCCTTCTGGATTATTTCAGTAATTTGTTGACAGATCATCCTGACTGTTTTTCACATCTTAAGTCAAGTATGAAAAGTTTGGTATGTATAGCTTTGATCTCTCCCTGTACACTTTGCTTCTTATTTTCAACAATCATTACATTGTTTTGGTCTTTGTGGGAAATATCAGTTTCACTTTATTGTACTTTAACATTTTCTTTTACAACATTTATTTTGTAGCGGTTTTAATCAACCATAAAATCAGTTGTCAAATGTTCATATTATTATGGTACCTATACTAGGAAATTGTTATGATTTTTGCATTTTACGATTATTATATAGTATTTAGAATTATCTTACAATACTTCTTATATTGTTTTACAAACACACACAATATCAATAATAAACCAATCATACACACAAAATAAAGTTAAGCTAAATATTGCTGGATGAACTCTTATTTTTTTTCCTCTCTCTTCACATACATGGATCAAATAAGCCATATTCCATGCTGGATGAAGCCATCATTATCCTCAGCTTCAAGAAAGTGAACTGAGCAGATCTGGATAATTGATAGATTCATTAGTCTTTATGCATAATTAGTAAGCTGTATGCATGTCCTCTAGATTGAAAACTGCAGGATTGGACAAAGGAATCTATTCTATGAAATAATGAACAAGCAGGTTTTCATTCTATTTTTCCTACCTTTGTTTATGTGTTGGTTTTATACCATTAAATTGAAATATATACTCATAAAGCAAAGTATCCCATACAAAGATATCTGGTTTCATTTCCAGAGAAATCTAATGGTGGAAATTGGAAAACAGTAGCATAGACATTCATATTTTTCTCATTTAGTGTTTGTATGAAAAGTAATATCAGAAGTAACCTTACAGGTGCTAACCTGTCAGAAAGGAAACAGACGAAGTTCTACTTTGGGCTTCATGTTATTTATCTTTTACCTAAATTCCCTAACGCCATCTCACTGATTTAATTTGTACCCACTTCAGATCTCTTATATGCTAAGGGCATTACTATTATTTGACAATATTTGGTGATTAACTACCATAAAACCATAGTAGTGGTCTATGCTTAAAAAAGACTTTAAAAATGTGGCCAGTTACAATGAATAAAATTGAACATGTTAATTGTTTTAAATATTTGTGGGTAGTTCTATGTGCTATTGGATCTGGAAGCTTCATAATTATATAAACCTAAGCCACAGGTCTTTAAATTTGGCCCTTTTATGACTTGTGACTTCAACTCCCAGAATTCCTTAGCCAAGCACACTGGCTGAGGAATTCTAGGAGTTGAAGTTCACAAGCCATAAAAGTGCTAAGTTTGAAGACCCCTGATCTAAGCACTAAGGAACTAAGTAACAATACTGAGTTTCTATCATATTAAGGCAAGGAATGTATTGCTGAAGTGTTGAAGTTATTTGAACAAATATTAATGCACAACTAGGCTGATTTCCTTAATTATAAATCTGTAGACATAGATTTTCCATGTGCCCAAAGGTTTATCAAATGCTGCATTAAGGCTGTAGGTAAGATCATTGAAAACAGATGCAAAAACATGGTTATTCATATTTACTTATTGAATCTAAGGCCACCTTTCTAACAACAGGATTGAGTCTTCAAGTTTTAAGAGATTATTTTACTGCTGGTATCTATAAGTACTTAAAAATGAGTCTCTGTCATCCTCCCTCTTTACCAGTTGTCTTTAGAATAAACCTTTCAAATGGGCAAAATTGATTATTTGATATTGAATAACAGAATGTAGTTAAATTTCACATCATATCAATAGGTATTTAAAATAGTCCAGATGGCAACCAAGTAGATTTCATCAGTCATCCTCTACTCCATAGCAAACCTTTTTTAGAGGCAGACATTTTATCTACAAGTATAAATAAATGTATGAATGGCCTTAGCCAAAGAGAGGAGGAGGTGTTGCCTAGGAAAAAGAAAAAGAGGCAATCAGAAAAAGAAACTTAGGAAAATAATAAGTTGAGAAAGCACTCCTCACATACATACACACACACACACACACACACACACACACATTGTTAACATTGGTATGTGTTAACTATTCATACATATTTTTGTTGTGAAACAATCTTAATCCTTAGTTAGGGTTAAATATTTGAATGTGATCAGACTAACATGTTGTTGTGGCCCATTCCATATGTCTGTATTTCAAACATACTAGAAAATATTACTTGGAGGATTTATTTACTAGTTATGTATCTTCTTTCATTTCAAGAGCTAAATGTAAGGTACACACACACACACACACACACACACACACACACACACACACACTGTATGTGCATATAAAGAAAAAACAAGAAAGAATATTTCAGTGCAGTAATGTGACAAATCCTCCTCACTTATGGCATATTAAAAGGCCATATTTTTGAAGCTTTTCTAAAAAGCAGCAGGATTGGGGTCAACTGGACCTCGGGGAAATGGTATTGCAGAGGACGAGAACAGTACAGAGGTGGCAGGCTTCCGAGATATCATTTATTACCAATGGATGCAAATGTTTAGTTGAAATTTGATTCTATCATACCTTTGATATCCAATGTTGTCTTATAATATGGACTAAAATAATCTAGATCTCAGTCTCAGAGAACCCATTTATTTTACTATCTATCTATCTATCTATCTATCTATCTATCTATCTATCTATCTATCTATCTATCTATCTGTTATGTCCTGAGCCTGTGCAAGCAGGCTCGGGGCATTGCAAACGGTCCCGGGCAGGTGTAAGTTGCCCGGGACCAGACAGGCTGTTGCCAGTACTTGCGCGCATGTGCAAGTGCTGGCACGCCAAAAGTTGCAGATTGACCCGGGAATGGCCTATATAAGAGGCCAAGAGTTTTGGGCGTTGCCGGCGTCTTCCAACTGTAAGCTGAACTAAGAATAAAGAAGTCTTGAGAACTACAACTGCTTCTCATGTCTTGCCATTTCGCGAAGGATGCAACACTATCTATCTATCTATCTATCTATCTATCTATCTATCTATCTACCTATCTTCATGTGCTTTTCCCTGCATCAGTTCTGCATTGATTCACTGAGGTAAGAAGAATTGTCAATGTGAGGTGGCCAATGGTTATACTCCAATTGGACATCAGACAGCAGTGTTGGACGTACACAAGTCTGAATGAGATGGCAATACCTAAATTTGAGAAACAAATAAATAAAATATCTTTTACATACAATATGACAGCTTCTTTTTATTTATTAATCTTCTCTTTAAGGCCAAAAACTCTAGAGACTCATATTTGTTTTGTTTTCCCATGATCATGCAGATGTAATTGTTACGCAAGCTGTTAGGGGAATATTAGAATATATGGAAAACTTTCACAAAATGAAGTTTATAATACTGGTAACTAATTAATTGAAGTTGTTCCAAATACACACACACACACACACACACACACACACACACACACACACACACACACATAACTAAGGATATGAATGAATGAATGAATGAATGAATGAATGAATGAATGAACAAACAAACAAACAAACATATGTTTGTGTTTGTAAATAGACAGGTGCAGGGATATGGATAGGCACACACACACACACACACACACACACACACACATACCACTTAGAAAATCTCCACATATATGTCCGTGTGCAATATGATTGTGTATATAGGCACATCTGTCTCACACACACACATACATACACACACATGGAGAGAGAGAGAGAGAGAGAGAGAGAGAGAGAGAGACTAGTTGTTATGCCTCTCTCAGAAATACAGCAACAAAAATATATTGAATAATTTCATTGGAAAGGAAGTTATTATCCTTTGAAGATTTTTTTTTAAAATACAGCTTGATATTTAAGAAGAAGAATGGTATAAAACACAGGAAGTTATTTTAGTGAATAATCAATAAACAGGAAAGATGACTATTTCTTATTTTCTTTTAATTTGTAATTTTTATATACTATTGTTCCATTTTTTTACTTATTTATTTTTAATTAAGGTTTGCATAGATTTGAGAATAAGAACATATTGAGCCATGTTTAAAAATTAAATATCTCAGACAATGCTTAATTCAAAAATGTGTTCAGTCTTGAGATCAAATAATTATATCTTTAAATATAAAATATTTAAAATCAAAGAAAAATGATCTGCTTATAAGCATCTTGTTTTGACTAGGGCATTAATTTAACTAAATTTCATCTTCCTATATGTAGATTTATATCTTTTCCCTTTAATAATATTGCACATTATTTCTTTCAGAAATTGTTCCAATATTTATCATAGTCAGAAACCATACAAAGATAAAATAATTTATCCTGTTGGGGTTTCAAGAATTCTCTGAATTGCAGGTGCTTTTTTCCTGATTTTTTTTAATGATAACACCGTTACCTCACTGTGTTTTAAAATAAAATCAAAGGAAATAAATGAAGATATATAAAGATGAAATGACAGAGACAAAGGAGATAGGATAAAGGTAGAGAAATGGATATAGAGATAGCTTTTGTCTCTCTCAAACAAATGATATAAACACAGATAAATATGGTATCAAATGTTCTAATTGGGGTAATAGCTAATTACTTCACCCTATTTTACAATAATTATAAACTCTTGTTTCAATTTTATATGTTTACTTGTTTGCATGTATTAAGAGATATTTTTTTCAATATTATTGAGATGTATCTGAAAATAACAAAAAAAGATATCTGTGTGCAGGCTGATTTGCAGAAATCGCTGATGCATATAACTGTTCACTAGTGCATTTTACCTAAACAGTGATCCTATGGGTGTTAAAAAAATAAGTTATAATTTTTATCTCGGTCTCTTGAGTAGTGACCTCAATTATTAAATTGTTTCTTTAAACAGAAAATATTTAAGATCAAAGTAAAATTATCTGCTTATAAACATTTTGCTTTGAAGAGGGCATCAATTTAGCTAAATTTCATCTTCCTATATATAGATTTGCCTATTTCCCCTTTAACTGTATTTCCCATTCTTTCAGGACTTGTTCCCATATCTATCATGGTCAGAAACCATACGAAGATAAAAGAATTTATCTTGCTGGGGTTTCAAGAATTCTCTGAACTGCAGGTTCTTTTTTTCCTGACCTTTTTAATGATTTACATTGTGACCATAATGGGAAATATTCTTGTTCTTCTGCTGATTGTCCTGGATCCACATCTTAAAAGCCCCATGTATTTTTTTCTGGGGAACCTCTCTTTTCTAGAGGCTTGCTACAGTTCCAATATATTTCCAAGGATGATTTCAGCTCTCTCGACTGGGAACAGGAGTATTTCCTTCAACAGCTGTTTTACACAACTATATTTCTTTGGTTCATTGGTATCTTCAGAATGCTGTTTACTCTGTGTGATGTCTTATGATAGATATTTAGCAATCTGTAAACCATTACATTATGCGATCATCATGAAAAGCTGGACATGTATACAACTAGTAGCTGTGTCTTGGATCAATGGATTTGTGGCTTTGACGGTAGTCCTCATTTTGATGTTGCAGTTAAATTTCTGTAACTCCAATGAGATTGATCATTACTTCTGTGAATATTTTCCTATTCTAAGACTCTCCTGCAGTGATATTAGTACAGTGCAAATTTTGAGCTTCCTGGTGGCTTCTGTATTCACATTTCCTCCTTTTCTTCTGACACTTGCATCTTACATTTATATTATTATTGCCATCTTAAACATTCCCTCTACTACTGGGAGGCAAAAGGCTTTTTCTACCTGTTCTTCTCACTTGATTGTAGTTTCTATTTTCTATGGATCTCTAATTATTGTATATATGACACCTAAGGCTGCAACTAGGAGGGAGATGCAAAAAATCTCCTCTTTGTTATACACAGTTTTGCCTCCTATGCTCAACCCCTTTATATACAGTCTGAGAAATAAGGAAGTCAAAGATGCCCTAAGAAATAATATCTGCAGAAATTTTAATTTAATTTCATAGGAAGTCAGAGGAAAGTTGCTTACTGTATGTAAAAAAAGGGAGGAAAACTGTAGGAGGACATAGTGGAGGATGAAAAAAAGATTAAATATGTGATTCATTTTTAAAATGTATACAAAAAAGCTTTTCAAATAAAGTCTGGAAGTGTTACATTATTCAAATATATTATGTTGCAATACAATATAAATTATTAAAATGCATTTTGCATTAAAATGAATTATAGGACTAATTTCACTGATGTCTGACAAAGTACTTCCAATGAAATTATGATTTGATGTCCAGAATCATACCAGGTGTTACAATAAATATCAGACAGGAAAATTTCATTTAATTATTCAGAACATGGGAAGACTATTGGCCAGCAGAAATAGAAGTATTTTTATGAATCCAAATACCGTTCTGAACAAATACAGTTATATAGCATTAGAAAAGGTGCTTAAATGGTATTTTAATTTTGTTTTAAAAATTCTTTTCCTCTTCATTTTGTAGCTAATTGTGTTATTTAGAATAGTAGGTCAACTATTGGAAGATAATGTATAGGAAATGAAAATGAATATTGTTTTATCATAGTAGTAGAGAGTCTGGTAGTATAGAAATTGGAAAGATATGTTTTCTTCTTCACATTTTCTACTATATGGAAGTTCTCAACCATTATTATATTTATGTATATAATGTAATATTTTTTTATATTTTTATTATTTAATGTTATCTATATTCAAACAAGAATTTTACCATTGCTTCTCTACATCATGGTGGTACAGTGCTTAGAATGAAGTATTGCAGGTTAACTCACTGCCAAGAGTTTAATTATGACTGGCTCAAGTTTGACTCAGCCTTTCATTCCTTCAAGATTGATAAAATGTTTATTGATAATAAACAGATTATTATTAAGGGCAATATGCTGATTCTGTAAACTGCTTAGAGAAGACTGTAAAGCACTATGAAGCATTATATAAGTCTGAGTGCTATTGCTCTTGCTATACTACTGTGCAATGTGTCACCCTATTGTAAAAAATATATTATTAAAAAAAATGTTAAGACTCTGGAAAAAGTGCAGGAAAAAACAACAAAAGTAATTAAAGGGGTGGAGGCTAAAACATAGGAAGAACAGTTGCAGGAATTGGATATGTCTAGTTTAGTAAAAAGAAGGACATGATACAGTGGTAGTGTTTTAATATTAGAAGGGCTGCAATGAATATGAGAGAGTCAACCTCTTTTCTAAAGCACCAGAAAGCAAAAGAAGAAGCAATGGATGGAAATTAATCAAGGAGAGAAGCAATCTAGAACTAAGGACAAATTTCCTAACAGTGAGAACAATTAACTGGTGGCTTGTCTTCAGAAGTTGTGATTATTCCATCACTGGAGGCTTTTAAGAAAAGACTAGACAGACACTTGTCTGAAATGCGATAGATCTCCTGCTTGAGTTGAAGGTTAGACTAGAAGAGAGCTTTTCAACCTTTTCACCCATTGTATCACTTTTAGGATATGGCAATATGCGAGTACCACTAGTCGCTAGCAAGGTGTCAAAAACTTGATGACCCCCCCAAAAAACAAAAAAGTGGTGAAGTACAGGTAGTCCTTGACTTACAACAATTTGCTTAGTGACTCTTAGAAGTTACAATGGCACTGAAAAAAGTGCCCCCCAAGCCACAGCGGAGCAAGACACCTGCCTGCCCACCCAGTGGCGCTCTTCCTCCTGTCTGAGGTTTTCATTGTTTTGAGCATTTCTGTTGAGGATTGGCAATGGGGGTGGGGTGGGGGATGTTTGGTTTTTATTCCCCCCATCTGATGGGTGGTTGTAGCAGGTTTTGGTCAATTCACATGACTCTGGACACTGACCGTCATAAATATGAATCATTTGCCAAGCATCTGAATATAAATCACAAGACCCTGGAGATACTGCAACATTCCAGCTGATCGGTGCTTCTTCTGGGCTCAGCAGAAGCACCAGGATCAGTGCTACTTTCCAACTGATTGGTGCTTCTTCAGGGCTCAGCAGAAGTACCAGGATCAACACCGAGCTGCAGCTGGAGCCTGGCGCTGATCCTGGCGCTTCCACTGACAGCCCCAAAGAAGCACCAATCAGCTGGAAAGTGGCACTGATCCTGGCTCTTCCACTGACACCCTGAAGAAGCACCGATCAGCTGGAAAGCGACACTGATCCTGGCACTTCCGCTGAGCCCTGACAGCCATGCAGCTCCAGCCATCTCTCGCTCAGGCTTGTGCAGTGCTGCCACCGGTTCAGCTCATTCCCCTCCCCCGCTACTTTTCTAGGATGGTCACATACCACCTGCAAGGTGCCAATGTACCACAGGTGGTACCCGTACCACTGGTTGAAAAGCCCTGGACTAGAAGAACTTCAAACTCTGTTATTCTATTATTCTGAAGTGATTCTTAGAAAGAGAAAGAAAAACATAGAAAAAGACAAAAGAACAAGTTTAGTAATTGAAAGCATTAGACTAGAAATTAGGAGTCTGACAATTCTAGTTCTCAGACATAGAATCTGGATTAAGGATTCTAAACCAATCATTCTCATTCAACCCTACACTCTATATAAATCTATCTACTAAAACTTCCCCACTATAGTACATTATTGGTCATAACCTTCAAACAACATTCTTGTTTATCTTATTGTTAAATCTTTTAACTAATTGTTAATAACAAATGATTTAGGATTATTTCCCAATTATTTTTTGTTAGAATCATGTCTTGATTACTAGTTGGGAAATAATTACATGAAATCATCCTTCACTTCATTTCCTTAATAAATGTTCAATGAGTTTCTCTATCAGAAATCTTGATATTTTTTTTAAAAAAATTTCGCGCTAAACTACCAATACTATTAACTCCTCCTCCTCCTCCTCTTCCTCCTCCTCCTCCTCCTCCTCCTCCTCCTGGAATGTCAAAATCTTAAACTATTTCTTTTTTTTTATTAAAAAATTTTATAAATTTTTACAAAAAGACAAAAAAGTAACAATGCAATACAATACAAAAACAAAGCAAAGCAAAACAAAACAAAACAAAACAAAACAACCCTTCCCCAACCCTCCCCAAAACCCCCACTCCCTCCCCCCCCGGAGCTTCCCAGAGCAGAATATAGGTTTAATTAAAAAAAAAGTTATATGAAAAAAAAGAATATAACACTAAAATATATGTGTATATATAAAAATAAAAGTTATAAAAAAGCTAGATGATATTTTTTTATATCCAATTTAAATTGTATAAACTTTATCCATTTATCCAAAACAGCAAGAAATTTCTCTTGCGATTGTTCTTTTAAGAAAGCCGAAATCTTTGCCATTTCCGCCAAATAAGACACTTTAAGAAACCATTCCTGCAAAGTAGGCAAAGATTCCTTCTTCCAATATTGTCCTACTAACAGCCTTGCGGCTGTGATCAAGTTCAGCATCAATATAACCTCCTTTGTATCACAATCAGTAACTATACCTAATAAAAATAATTGTGGAGTAAATTTTACCCTCCTTCTAAAGATTCTCTGAATATTCCACCATATCTTAATCCAAAAGGCTTTTATATTTCTGCACGACCACCAGATATGATAATAGGTGGCATCCAAACAACCACATCTCCAACATTTAGGCTGTAGGTCAGGGTACATAAAAGACATTTTTTGTGGATCAAGGTGCCATCTATAAAACATTTTATAAAAATTCTCCCTTAAATTCTGTGCTTGTGTAAATTTAACATTTCTCACCCAAATAGTTTCCCAGGTATCCAGTAGAACTGGTTCCCCAAAATTCTGCGCCCATTTAATCATACAATCTTTAATTAATTCTGTTTCTGAATCCAATTCCACTAGAACCCCATAAATTCTCTTAATATGAGTTTGTCTTTGATCCTTCACTTGCTTAATAAGATTTTCATCTTCTCTGAGGAAACCCATCTTACGATCCATCTTCCATCTGTCTACTAATTGCCTATATTGAAACCAAGAATAAATAATATTTTCATGTACTAGCTCTTACAATAGTTTTAACTGCCAGTTTTGTCCATCCCATCTAAGTAACTGTGTATAAGACACCGTATCCATTTTAACACCTCTTTTTATCCCCTCTATCGCATGCCAAGGTATAGCCCATAATGGTATTTTAAAATCACTTTTATAATATTTTCTCCAAACCCTAAGTAAAGAGATTCTTATAATATGAGATTTAAAAGCCCGGTCCACTTTTTTATTAAATATTAAATAGGCATGCCAACAAAAAAGTAAATCCCATCCCTCCAAATGGAGTATCTCCAAATTTGTTAAATTTACCCAATCACTAATTAATGTTAAAACCACCGCATCATAATATAATTTCAAATTCGGTACCTTGAGTCCACCTCTCTCACGGGAGTCTTGCATGATTTTAAACTTTACCCTTGGTTTCTTCCCTGCCCAGATAAATTTGTTAATACCTTTCTGCCATTCACTTAAATTAATCTCATTCTTCAAAATCGGTAACATTTGAAACAAAAAAAGAAACTTGGGTAGAACATTCATTTTTATCACTGCAATTCTTCCCATGAGAGATAATTGCAACTTCTCCCAATTCCTCAAGTCTTTCTGTACTCTAACCCACAACCTTTCATAGTTATTCTTAAACAATTTTGCATTAGAAACAGATAAAATCACCCCCAAATATTTTACCTTATTAACAATTTCAAAACCCGTCAAATTAGCCAAAATCTGCTTCTCCCGAATAGTCATATTTTTAGGTAGGATTTTAGTCTTATTAACATTAATCTTAAAACCCGAAAGCAAGCCATAATGATAAGTCAACTGTAATAACTTTACTACAGAATAAGTAGGTTGCGACAAGGTAACCACCAAGTCATCTGCAAAAGCTCTTAACTTATATTCTTTTTTGTTAACTTCTATTCCTTTTATTTCCTGCGACTCTCGAATTTTAATCAACAATATTTCCAATGTTAAAACAAACAGCAACGGTGATAATGGACATCCCTGCCTAGTACCTTTCTCTATTGTAAAAACCTCTGACAAACCTCCATTAACAATAAGTTGTGCCGTTTGTTTTTGGTATATTGCCGTAAGAGCTTGTAATATCTTTTCACCAAGATTCATCTCTTCAATTACTCTTAACATAAAATGCCAATTCAATTGATCAAAAGCTTTTTCAGCATCTAAAAATATCAGCCCTGCAGAAACTTGATTATTCTTATCTAGATATTCTAATAAGTTAATAATTTGTCTAGCATTATTTTTCATATACCTACCACTTTTAAACCCAGATTGATCCTTGTGCACAAGATGATGCACAACCCTCATAAGCCTATTTGCTAAAATTTTTGCAGAAACTTGATTATTCTTATCTAGATATTCTAATAAGTTAATAATTTGTCTAGCATTATTTTTCATATACCTACCACTTTTAAACCCAGATTGATCCTTGTGCACAAGATGATGCACAACCCTCATAAGCCTATTTGCTAAAATTTTTGCAAATATCTTATAGTCAACATTTAAAAGAGATATAGGTCTATAATTCTTTGGTAAAGTAAGATCTTGTTCCTCTTTTTGGGATCAAGGATATAAAAGCACTATGCCATGAAGGAAGAATCTCTGAGCCCTGTAAAATATTATTAAAAAGATCACCTAATGGTTGAATCATCTCTTCCATTAGAGCTTTATAATAAACAGATGTCATCCCATCCGTGCCCGGTACTTTCCCTGGTTTCAATTGTTTGATTGCTATCGCAATTTCCTCATTAGTAATTAAACCATTAATTTCATGTTTCTGGTCCGCTGTCAGTTTGGGAAAGTTGGCCTCACTTAAATATTTATTTATATCTAAAATTTGCACATTAGTAGATTTATATAGTTTTTGATAGTAATCCAAAAAAGATTTCTTAATCAATTCCTTCTGATACACTAGTTTACCCTTATAATTTATTTTATCTATTATTCTGTCTCTGTTTCTTTCTTAATTGATAAGCCAACCATCTCCCTGGTTTATTAGCATTACAAAATGTATTTTGTTTCATAAACAATAAATTGGTTGCGGATTGATCCGCCATCAACATGTTAAATTGTGTTCTTAGCAACTTTATAGATTCTTTAATCCTTTCATCTGAAGGATTTAAAATCAAAAACTTTTCTTTTAATTTAATCTCATCTTCCAATTCTTTACGTTTCTGAGTCTGCTTTTGCCTATGAAAGTTATTCATTTTTATCAAAATCCCACGCATAAATGCTTTACCTGCATCCCATACCATTGAGATTGAAGTCCCCTTATACATATTCAGAGCAAAATAATCCTTTAAACATTCATTTAACTTTTGAACATTCTTTTC